AATATAATCTGTTTTCTTTGCTCCATAAGACGCACAGACTTTCCACCCCCCTGTTTTGTGGGGAAAAAGTGCATCTTATGGTGCGAAAAATATATATAAGTGCAACTCCACCCTCCACCCTTGTGCAGCCACCTGAAGATGATGACATGACTGTATTTGAATCAATGTAGATGGATGTACAGGCCGCAGAAACTTATTCCATGGATACAACGATCCTGCTGTAACTCTTGTCATGTAACACTTGAAGGGCCATGCTGTTGATCAGTGATACCCCAGTACCCTATGATCTGACAAGAAGGATTGGACCTCCTGCAACAGGGTGGCCCCAATGACCATTATGGAGTCCAGAAGTATACCATGATTTTGTGGTACAAAAAGCCACACAGAGGCCCAGGAAAACGACTAGGGCCACCTTCCCCTTCCATCTCCCTCGTCCCTGCCATAGGCTGTCTGGTTACCCGGATAGAGAGGTGCTGGGCCCGTTGGCATTGGTTTCTTTTTCTCTGAAGGAGTACTGGCTTTCTTTGGCTTCTCTTTCCTGAACAGCTTCGGCAACACAATCTGCTCCTTCGCGGTCTCAGCCGGGGACCGGGGCCCACGCCTGTCATCTGCCCTGTTATTGGCCGAAGTGGACTGGATGTTGGCCGTACGTTGCACTAATTCGGGGAGGACCACTGGCTGGGGTTGAGCCTTCTTTTTGGCCTCGGCTGATGCTGGAGAAGGAGAAGATTTAACCAGGAGGGGCAAGAGCTGAGTTGTCCTTTTACTGGCTGGGTCCTGAGACGTGGATGGCTGGAAGCTTGATTCGGGCTTTCCTCTGCTCGACTGAGGAAGGGACTCATTGTTTCTCGTATCCTTTTTCTTTAAGATCTGAAACTTCTTCAGGAAGGATGTCATCCTACAAGAAAGCAAACGGCCCACGGATTAGTTCGCTAGCTTGGATTTTTCTGGCCCATGCCAGCTCAGAAGAATAGGAACACGACAACATGAAACGACCTTACTGTCCCATTTGGAGATGTTGGCTGGCTTTCCACCAGGCCATCCTTTCAACCTGAAATCATTTGAACTGGAAACGTCAAGGATTAAACGAGGGACTTGAACCTGTTGTGTTTGTAGCGAAAGAACATCTGCTTTTATCATGGAGTGAGAGCTGTGCTCCAGTGTCAAGGTGACCAAGAAACCCAATAAGCCCATTCCAAGGAGAGGAAGAAGAGCCTTCATCCCATTTTCACTACAGATACGAAGGTCTACATCCAGTAGCGTCCAACATCCCCACCACCATCATTGCTGATCATGCTGGAACACTGTCGGTGCAACCATACGTACACCGTCGCCGTTCTACGAACGGTGAAAGTCAAGAACTGCTTGCACGGCAAGGGACGGGATGCTTCCCTGTATGAACTCCTCAGAAAAGGAGTTGGACAAGTGTAATGCTACGGATGGCTGCAGGCCACAGTCTTTGCTCTCTGATCCAGAGATACTGGCAAGTCCTTTTGGTCCCAAGTCTGAGTCTCTTTGGTACCAAGTGCTGAGTCCCAAGCTTCGGTTCGGAGCCCCTATTAAAAACAAGCTTTATTTCTGCATAAAAAAGGGAGGTATGAGTGGGTTCCAGGTCACAAATTGAGTCTGGGTACTTGGGGGGGGGGACAGCATCTTAAAATTGATGCTTTTGAATTGTGGTGCTGGAGGAGACTCTTAAGATTCCCCTGGACTGAAAGGAGACCAAACCTATCCATTCTGAAGGAAATCAACCCTGAGTGCTCACTGGAAGGACAGATCCTGAAGCTGAGGCTCCCATACTTTGGCCATCTCATGAGAAGAGAAGACTCCCTGGAAAAGACCCTGATGTTGGGAAAGAGTGAACGCAAGAGGAGAGGCAGACGACAGAGGACGAGATGGTTGGACAGGGTCATCGAAGCGACCAACATGAATTTGACCCAACTCCGGGAGGCTGTGGAAGGCAGGAGGGCCTGGTGCGCCCTGGTTCATGGGGTCACGAAGAGTCGGACATGACTAAATGACTAAACAACAACAACTTGGGGGAAAAAAAAGAAGAGTCCTAGTCAAGTCACTGGTGTGACTTAAATCTGACTTGATAGCAACTCCTGTGATGCAACTCTCTGCCCCGACTCTGATCACCACCTCCTCACAATTGTTCTCTGCAGTTTTTCTGCCTCTGTAGATTCAACTTGTAAAGGTGTTCACAATGCCGGTGTCTACAGCCTTGTGATTAAACTCCCAAGTGGAAAAAGTTTTCTGAGCATGGGCACAGAGAGATGAGATTCAACGATACGAGGCAATTCTGGCTATGTATCCTAACCATGGATATTTAGCAGCTCTTCCCAGAGCAACTGAGACTCATGGATCGGAGGTCCCTCCCCAGTGCCAACAGCAGAAGCACGGACATGTTGGCCAGAATGCCAATGTGATGGATTTATGCCAGCATAAACATAATGGTATAAACCATGGCAGTGAATTGTTGCTAATCAGAGAGTTGCTGCTTGCATTCCTGGTCACGTGTCTGTCACAAGACTTGGTACACAGTCAGGCAATATGTTAATTAGCGACTGTTGGCTGCCATAATTTTTGTAATTACACTCAATGCTGGCATATATCTACTAATCCGGGTACTGAATGAATCATAAAGCAGAGTCATCCAATAGCTATCCTCCCCTTTTATTTTCCTGCTATTTTATTAATTAATTCAATGTGTTTGTATTTCATTTTTATGGATTTATGCCAGCATAAACATAATGGTATAAACCATGGCAGTGAATTGTTGCTAATCAGAGAGTTGCTGCTTGTATTCCTGGTCACGTGTCTGTCACAGGACTTGGTACACAGCCAGACAATATGTTAATTAGCGACAGTTGGCTGCCATAATTTCTGTAATTACACTTAATGCTGGCATAAATCTAAAATAGAATTCTGCCTAATCTGGGTACTGAATGAATCATAAAGCAGAGTCATCCAATAGCTATCCTCCCCTTTTATTTTCCTGCTATTTTATTAATTAATTCAATGTGTTTGTATTTCATTTTTCAGAGATGGGCTAGTGAAGGAGAGGAGGATGAACCTTGTCGATCAGGACTGTATTTATTCTATGCATCACATGTTACGTTTTACACGCTCTATACCTCAAACACAGAAATAAGTGGTACAGTACTTTAACTGGAATTACTCTCGGTAAGTATGCATAGGAAGGTAGCTCAGTGTTTACCTGGGAAAAATAGGATTGTATAAGAGTGGGCTATATATGAGTAAATGTGCCTAGAAGTGAGCTCCATTTTATGGGATTTTTGGTAACCTAAGAATCTGAGCTTTTATTGATAGAAAGAAGGAAGACCAAAAACTCAGATCTCATGATGGGATGAGTTTCGTGAAGACTCAAAACCAAAGGACCCTATTGTCAGGGAGGGTGAGATCACTGGCGGGAAGCTCAGTTCCTTCCTGTTCTCCAACCACAACCGTTTCGGGGGCCCTCCTGCTAGTTCCCACGAATCCCCTATACCCACATTTTTGCATCAGTTGCTGATAATCCAAAGAAGGAGAAGGGGAGCAAGTTGGAAAGGCAAGAAGGCGCTCGGGTGGGGCGCTAGGGAGCTCGTGTGCCTGAAAAACAAGGGGAACAACAATAACCACGAGTACGTTTAGTGATTTCTGTTCTTTGCTTGCTCGTTCTAGTTCCACTTCTTCACCCAACCCCGATTTCGCTGGTTGGGAAAGGAGGCTTAGCTTTTCCAAGGGTTAGGAATAACTAATACAATACCTTAATACATATCTGGTGTGTTGTATGCATTTATGCATGTGGGTTTAAAAACCTTTATTAAATCATTTCCAACAACGTGTTCCAGTGTAGCCATCACTACGTTCAGCTTGACAACCCATTGAAGCCTTTGCTATGTACTTTGAGGAGCTACTAAAGTGATGAAGGGAAAAGCACTTTGCATTTGCTCAGAGGTTCCCATGGCTTCATCACTTTATCAGCTCCGAGGCTTAAGTCCTGGCATGGAAAACAGAAAATAAGCAATGTTGGTCCCTCGCCCAAAGTAAGCCCCACATCTAGGGATCTGTAGGTATCTATACTCTTATATAAATTATTCTGTAATCCAGTGGTTGCCAACCTTTGGCCTCCACATGGTCTTGGACCACAACTCCCAGAAACCTTCACCACCACCTCTGCTGGCCAGGATTTCTGGGAGTTGAAGTCCAAGAACATCTGGAGGCCCAAGGTTGGGGACCACTGCTGTAATCGTCATTGTCATCATCTTACAACTGCACAGCTGGAAGGGACCCTATGGATCTCTGAGTCCAGTTCCTGTCAAGGAGGCTCAGTGGGGAATCAAACTCCCAACCTCTGGCTCTGCAGCCAGGGACCTCAACCACTGAGCTATCTAGCAGTTCTTTATGTTGTTCTTTATAGTCACAGTGTGGATTCATAGGCCACCCCTCACAACGAGGGTAGGAAGTCACAGAATCATAGGATCATGGAGCCTGAATCTGGTCTCCTGTTGCTTGAGCCCATTCTTGCATGTCCTGCGCTCTGGGATGATCAAGAACAGATCCTGCCCCTCCTCTGTAGGACTCCCTTTCAAGTCTTTGAAAAGCACAATCCTCTCTCTCCTCAGTCTTCTTTTCTCAAGGCTAACACTGGTTCATAAGGTCACCTAACTTCAGAGGCAGCTTGATGGTGTATTAACAACAGATCCTTAAAAAAAAGGGGTCTTGTGATTAATTAATAACGTTTCAGAGCAACGGAAAGCTACTTGAAATTGGCAGCCTTGAGAACATCCGAGTCATTTTACCTGATCTTTCAATTCTTAACCTGCTTCTAATCCTTGACCTTCTAAAATGGAAACCTTTGGGATTTCCCCACAGAGAGAAAAGCTCCATAGTCCTGTGGTTCCCACCCTCTCAGCTTGACCCAGCCTTCTGTGATCAAGGGTTCCGAGGTCACTGCGTTAATTGTGGCATCACTGAAGTGAAGTGATGTCAGTAGGTACAAGACTCAAAGCTTGAGGCTAGGCTGGACCCCAAAGGACCTGCTGGTTTCCCTCCAATCAGGCCAGCTGGAAAACAACAGGGAGGGGAAAAAGTGTGTGCACCCAATTTTTTAAAATTGCTTTATTCTCTGGAAGAAAGAATGAAAAGCAGCTTTGATGGGGGGGGATCCACTATGAGAAAAGTGTGTGTGTGTGGGGAAATCCAGGTCAAAATGTTGAGCGCTCTTATTGTGAATTTCCCATTTCCAGAGCTTTAAAAAGTGATTTCTGGACTCCATCTCCCAGAATGCCCTAGGTAGCATGACCAGTAGCCATGTGGGCTAGAGATTCTGGGCATGGGGCTCTTGCAGGTTCTAATCTCCCTATCCCAAATTCTCCAGAGCATCCCAGGAAAGCTCTCCCTCTCTGCACGATGGCCAAAGGTGGCTGCCCCCAGTCAGCAAACAGGGTGAAAACCTGGGGTGGGTCCAGTGTGTCATGATGATGCCATTGGCCCATGGGAAAGAATATGCCGCCATGCCACAGCGGTTATTCAGCAGAACTCCTTCCTTGCTCAGCTGGCAGGACCCCCAAATAGGAAAGTCTTCTCCAGGGCTTCCCTAGCTAGGCAGGCTGAACTTCTCAGCGCAGTAACAGGAGAGGGGATGGTGTGTAGGGAAGGGGTCATCTAGATGTCTTGGACTCCCAATCCCAGAATTCCTCAAGGCAGGATCCTGAGAGTTGCAGCCCACAGGCCCACACCAACAGATATCTACATTTCGCTCAACTGAAGCAGGGCCTATTTTTCTGAGCTTGCATGGCCGTCTCCAGCCCACTTCCTGTTGCTAATGTAGGACCAAAAAAAGCAAGGAAGGTACCACAGTGCATCCTGGGATTTGTGATTTTGATGTCCTTTAAGCTCTGTAGAGGATGCTGCTTAGAGATCTATGATACTGAGGAAGCAACGGAGCAATTGCAAAAGTCTATATTCTGAATGAAGATGAAATAATTCTATTTGGTGGTTGTTGTGGGTTTTTCGGGCTCTTTGGCCGTGTTCTGAAGGTTGTTCTATTTGGCTTTGTTCCAAGCGAGAGAAGCTAGAAGCCACTGGCCCACCGAGGGCAGATCTTGAAAACTCTTGGCCAAAGTTGTGGTCTAGCGCCACCCTCTGGTTCCAGTATGAATGTGACATTTACAGTCTCCTACCACCTGTGATCCTCTGTTCAGTGTATGATTGAGTTCCATGTCAGGCATTGGAGAAGA